CAATTTTTCTTCCAAAGAGAATTGCTTAGCAGTTCAACTGAACACACATAAAAAACAAAAGCATAACATCTATTCCAGGCAGGCTTTTCCAAGGTGCATCCTGAACTGAGCTTAACTGCTGCACAGTCCATGGCTCCTGGGGCTCAGAACCACCCATACAAAACCGCAGGGGAAAATTATTACTACAGTGTTATGGTACTGCAGGATGGTATTACTGTGCAGTTAGCATTACATGCAACCACCACTCATATCATCATTTGCCTGATGCTTCTTTTTAGACTTGATTTTCAGTCACTTTTTGCTTTGCCAAACTTTATTTCAGCTAATCGGCAAGTAAATTAATCTATCCAAAGTGCCTGGTTTAGGAGATTTCATCTAAGACACTGCTTAGAAGTGTGATACCAGTGAAACAAAACATCATAATTCCCATCCCCAAACCTTTTTGCTTCTTACCCTCAGATGGCACTACCCTTTTTGTGGGCATAGCTATAAATTTTGGCTGGAGCTCTTGCAGACATGACCCTGATTCTTTCAAAATTCTCCCAGTCTAGCCTTGACTCATATATCTGCAGTATTTTTTACTTCAAGATTCCCTTTTCCATTCTTTACAGAAGATGCCTATGGCAATCTTTACTGGTAGCTATTCAAAACTGGTATTTTATTCCTTATGCTGACATACATTTGCCTTTACAAACATTAGGTAAATGCTTGTGACCTAGGCTGTCTTACTTCAGGTTTGTACCCCGTAAGAGACCTATCCCTTTAAAAATTAGTTGCTGCAATACTGTTTTACATCTCTCTGCACAGATAACAAGACAAGGAGAAGAAGATCAGTTTCAGGGACAGAGAGGGACTGGGAAATCCTCATGAAAAGGGGCAAGCCTGTCCTACAGGACGCTGGGAAGGCAGCAGAGGTTCACTTGCACTGTGATATTGGATACCTCTTTCAAAGCACATCATTCTCCTTCAAAGCATGGCTAAAAACCAGGAGGTAACCAATCTAACCCATGGCTTTCCAAAAAGTGCTATAACACTGAAATAGAGTTGAAACCTTAGCAGAGCATCCTCAGCCTTTCCAGTTAAATTTCCTTCTGTACAGGACAGATTTAGGAAGCCAAAAGAGCAAGTAACGTAGAGCCTAATTCCCCAAACCTCAAATAAGGCACTGATCTAAAAGGTCTGGGAAAGTTTCCTGGATTTGGGATTATGTGGGATACAGCCAGTAAAAAATGCATAGAAAGTAAAATGCATATAAAATAGACATTAGCACTGAGGACATCTCTTTCTTATTGTAAATTGCATCAATTTTGTGTGTGTGGATTCTTTTTCCTAAACGACTGACAATAATTATTTTTTAAAGAAGAAATTCAGTTTTATACAACATGAAAATTGTGAACATACTCAGCCTCAGGAACAAATGTTGATTCTTAAACCTTGGAAATATGAAAAGAACAGACACCCCAAACCAGTAAAGGGGAAATTTCAGTTAGATATATGAAAAATAAACTGTGAGGGTGGTGAAACACTGAAACAGTGTAGATGTCCTGTTCCTGGAAGTGTTCAAGGCTAGGTTAGATGGGGCATTGAGCAGCCTGCTCTAACTAAAGGTGTCCCTGCCCATGGCAGGGGTGCTGGAACGAGATGATCTTTAAGGTCCCTTTTGCTATCTATTCTACAATGGGATTAATCTCACCTAAACCTGACAGGACATGAGCATTCAGTTATGCCTGTCAGTACAAGCACAACTCATAAGTTCCTCCACTTACCTGCTGTGACTTTATATGTGAGTAAGTAAACTGTGGGAAAGCCCATGTTCAGGGAGAGAGCCCACATCCTCATCTACCTCAAAACTGTTGTTTCTGGTCTTCTTTTCCCTTTTCCTGAGAAGGTGCTATTGTCCACTGCCTTTCACCCATCATATTTATCTCCCTTTCAAACTAAGCTCACTGTGCACACTGGTTCCAAGAGCTCTTTGGAGACCCTCTTCATTTTCCAGATCTCACCCTACTGCTCGCACTCAACTGAAAGAGGCTGCAGCCACCTCTAGTGACCTCTCCCCACCAAAACTCAAAAATTATACACTCTCTTTCTTCCTTCAAAGCTGAAGTAATGATTATTCTCTGCATACTGATTCCTTCTAATGGCAAGAGGAAAATACACCTTGCAGATCAGTATTGCTGTACTCCTATATTCACCACAAAACTGATCTCAAGAGTCTTTGATAAAAAGAAAGCTATTAAAAATTTAGTCACTTGTAAAGGGAGCCCTATGTCATTCCAAGCTTAAAATAAAGAAAAAGAAAAACAAATTTGACTCTTCCTTGCCTTCAGCAGATATAATGAAACACTCAAAACAGCACTTTCTGTCATATCACAGTGAGAACTAACACAAGAATTTATCCTAGTGTCCCAGACTTCCCACAGGACTCAAATAGAGGTCTTAAATGGGAGAAAAGAAAACCATAACATGCATCTCTCTCACAGCTGACAACATTCTTCTGTGCAGCAGGGACCTAAATTAAATTCACAACACCGACTGTGATTCTTCCCTCTTGCAGGACCTGGATTTCTCCAAGCTGTAGACTCCTGCTAATGTCAGACCCCTGTAATCATTATCAAGACTGAGTCATATAGGTTTGTTCCATTTCAAGCTGAAACTAATTTCTTCCTTTAAAAGGGTAACTAATGCTATTTTATCAACAGCAAAGTGCCTTAGGCACGCACTGATGATGTGAAATGCACAAGCTGCACATCCACCCAAACCAGAAAGGATTCAAACACCCACATCCTATCCCGGAGGGGTGTGATCCCCTTCTCAGGCTTTAGGGAGAAGAATAGTCTTATCCACCTACTGAAGGGCTGCCCGCTGCAAAGAGGAACCTGGGACTCACTAGAACAAGGAACTGCTATTCTGCAGCTTAACTGGGGGGCTCACCTGATGGATGCCACTCACGCTCTAAGGACCATGACAGAGGATAAATGATAACTTAATTAACAGCATTTCTGCGAGCATTAGGTGTGAGGCAAATACCCAGCTGTTACCCCTTGCTGATGCAGAGATACTGTCCAGCATGTGAACATACAAAATTTCTGGCACATATGAGAGATGTGGCTTTCTTTCCAGTAAAGAAGAAATAGTAGTACATTCATTGGGTTGATATGGGAAGACATTTTTTAAAGACCCCAAAGTTTTCAGCTGTTATGATAGTGCATATCATCAATGTTTCAAATTAGCACTTCAGGGATACAGGGAGACTAGCAGTAAAGGCTACTAGTTTAAAAAAATAGTTTAAATTGGTTTCCATCACGGTAAATGAGTGAGGCCCCCTGCTAACATTTGTCATTGGAGTAGTGCATTTTCATAATTTAAAAAGTATATTATTTCCTCCCCTGTTTAGCTCTTTGATAGGCCTGGAAAAGTTATTGATCTGGAAGTTTCATCAGCCTCCCAGCCATCCAATCAGCAAATAAACCTCTTGTGACATGCTGAAATGTTTAAATGTTTTCTCAGTCCACCTCCTGAAAACAAATTGCAGGAGGGCCAAACCATAACTTACATTAATCTTGCAATATTTATACCTATGGCATTTTCTGTTTGGTTGGTTTTTTTTAAAGTCCTAGCTGCTGAAGGAATGATTACATGATAATGTCTGATTTTTTCTTCAAATAATTTTGGAGGATCGATGCTCATGAAACTAAATCTGGACATACGACTCAAATTTATTCTCTGTAAGATTCAAAACACGAAAAAGAATTAAAATTCTGACTTTCCTCATCTAGTCTTGTTATTTTAGGACACTGCTGGCTATTGCTTTGTGCCAGGTACTATCCAACATACAGAACAACACAGAGTACCTATGATATTTAAAGTATCCTTTCCCCACACTATATGCGAAGTAGAAAAAAAGCAAGAATCATGAGGATTATCTCCACTGCACAGAGGAATAATTGATGCCAAAAGACTCAGTGATTTACAGTAATAGCCAGTAGGTGCATTGTTGACTGGGACTCAACACTGTTCCATGCCTATGCTTACCATCTTCTTAGAAATTATTGAAGTGATATTACATATTATCAAAATGAGATAGATATTAGAATTTATTACCATGATCACAAAAATGGACTTTAGCATTACTCAAGATCAGGAAAATCCAAAAAATCCAAAACAAATCCTCGATAAAATGAGCCAATGACCATCAGCATATTCCTGATGAACTCCCTTAAGAAAGCTGGGTGTTTTCTCAGTGATGCCCTGTGTGTAAAGTCTTGAATGATTGAGATAGTAGTGACATTTTACTGAAATCCAGCTTGTCGCCCGAACAGTGCTAACTTGACTCACCTTAAGGCTTATTTTGCCTTGTTTTGGTTTTTTTTTGGTTTATTTTTTGCTAAGAAATGTGCACATATTCCTAACAAAATGTGGTATAAGCATCAAGAAAGCAAATGTACACACATTCGTAAAATTATATAGCAGTACCTTACTACTATATATCTAATCTATGATTCCTGCTGTAAGTAGACAAGATTGTACATAGTTATACATATTTACAATATAAAGTACTTCCAAAGGATTTATTTAAAATCTGCAGGACACAAATACCAAATTACTGCAGAGTGAAACAGAAATTCAGCAAAACTTGTTCAAAACACTCCACACCCTTGTTTATGTTAAAGAGAACAGATCCCGTTGCAGCTGAAAATAAGCATGTCATCAACCCATCTGATTTTTGCCCGTTTAAGTTCTGGTAGAAAAGGTTACTAAGTAATACATACATCTAATGTACAAGTTCTTATCCGGGACGAATACATTTTATAGAAACAGCTTTTACCCATCAAAACCTACAAGGAACTTGAAATCATACACCTGAGGACCAGAAATGCAGTAAGAAGAGTCACGAAGGCAACCAGTGATGCCAATCACCTTTTGGTCTGCAGTCCCTGACCGCAAGGATTAAAAAAAAAAACAAAAATCAACAAAGAACTCCAGCAACTCTCACTCACCCAGCAGAGAGCCCACAAAGATGACAACCTGCACGGTGGTGGTGAAGTGCCGGTAGCTCTGCTCCTCGCCGTGCTCCTCGCTCTCCACGGCGCCCGCCTCGCTGACATTCCCGCCCTGCCACACCATCCGCCCGGCCGAGGCGTTCCCCGTCTCCAGAGCCCCGGTGACAGCCTGGGACGGGGCATGGTCGCTTTCATTCACCAACACCCAGCTTCTGTCGTACCCCATGGCGAAGTTCGCCTGCCTTGCTGCCACCTAATAATACAGGTTGTGCAGCCCTTGTCTTTAGTGAAGGAATGGAGCCCACAGGCAAAAGGATGCTTCTGAGGATAAAGCCCGGTCTCTGCCTCTCGGAGGCATCTTCACCACATGCCTGTGTCCCGAGAAACAGGGCTGGCTGTTCGCGTTTTCACCTTGTAAGTCATGACAGCCAGTAAACAAAAGCAGAAAACAAGCCAGGCTTCTCCTTCCGATCAGCTGTGCCATAGTTTTTCCTTCACACTGCCACAGGTCGTCTCAGCATGTTTTACCGCAATACGCGAGAGAGAAGGAACCACGGTCCCCAGAATCGCACCCCGCACCGCGGCTCATCCTCCCTCCGTGCCGAGGGTCGCGCACACGCTCGCAGGGCCAGGGCTCGCTGCACAGCAAAGCCGGCCTGCAGAACTGGGGGGCCACCAACTCTGTCCCCTCACTGCACTCTCAGCGTTGGCTCTGGCTTTGCTCACAGCCCTGAGAGAGGAAGAGCATGGCTTTCCCCGTGGCACACCTGCTCCCGCTCTCTCCTCTGCTCCTGCCCGCTCCGCCCGTGGCGAGACACGGCTCCCTCCCGTCCCTCGGCGGGCTCTGCGCGGCGCTGGACGCCGCGAAAACCCTCGCACACAGCGTCCAGAGAGGCCAGCGAGTGCTCAGCGGCTGCCCCGGCGCTCCGCTGTTTCTCGGGGAAATGAGCTGGGGTTTAAATCGCAAGGCGGGGGCGCTCGAGAGTCCAGCGAACCGAGGCGGCTCCGTGCGATCGCTGCGCGCCCCGCACTGAGCGCGGCGGGCAGCGACACCCCTGCTCCTTCGTGCTCCCACATCCCGAGCCGCTGCGGGCCCGCACTCCCAAACCCTGCGGCCATCCCGAGCCGGGCCGAAGCAGGAGCCGCCGGCCCGCCTCGCTGCCCAGGCGGGCGCGCCGCCATCACACAGCCGCGGCGGCGCCGCCATTTCGCTCGGGGCTGTGGGAGCGGGAGGGCGCGCTTTAAACCGGTGTTTTCAAACAGGTCCCTGGTTCTGGTTATAGACTTTCAAAAGACGGTGCTGGGTTCCAGATACGCGTGTTATTGTTAAAATAAATATTTTACTAAATGTGTAATTTTCCAGAAAAGCAATTCGGTGGGTGTAATGAGTTTCGGCATTGATTCTACTGATGGTGTGCATCCATACAGTGGATGGATTAGCCTTTAATTTGGAGACATTGGCGGCGGGGGTTAGTGCTAGTTAAAAATTAAGCCAAAAAGGTTTTTTCATCCACTGGCGGCCAGTCTGGAAGTGCCCCGGGAAGAGGATCTATCCATGACCTCATCCCCTGCACAGCAAGGCTTCCTCAGGGACCCAAAGCCCACGAGATGTGTTCCAGTGACATTCGCCCGGTCTCCTGCGATGTGAACTTTAGTGATCCAGGACAGAGCTAGGTGCTGTGCCGTGGGTTCAAAGGCATTTGCTGACCACAGGAATAGGGGACTGCCATTGTCCCATCCCACCACAGATCCTGGAGGCTGTACAAGCCTCTGCTTGTACCTCCATGTGTTTGGGCCCAGCCATTTGCAGCCTCCTCTCATTCCTCTGGGAGTTCATTGCTCCAGCCACTTTTCTAGTAATTCACGTCTCTGACTCACTCTGATTGTGGCCTCAGACTCACTCGCCCTCCTACCTTTTCCTCTCACCCACAACTCATTCACTTTGTCCACGCAGTCCCATTCTTCCCCACTTTCCAGGTAATAATCAGAAGCTTTCACCATGCTTTCCCCTTACCTTTCCTTTCCTGAACAAGCTTCTTCATCCTTTTGGCCTCCAGCATTCTTGTGACCAGTGTCTTTAACCAGAGTCTCACCTCAGTCCCTTCACCTCCCAGTCACCTGCAAGGTGCTTTTCCTCACCCAGCTGTCCCTTTCTTCAGTTCCTCCATCCATATGGAATGACGACCAAGGAGCCAGGCAAGACTTAATGCTTACTATCTACAGCCTACACCGTGTACCCTCTGCATTGTCTGTGCACCGATCTGCATAGTCAAGAAAGACTGAGTTGGCTAAAGGAAGAGGTCCTGTGGGCATAGGATGGTCTGGGTTTTACTTAGGAATGGAACAGAACAGAAGTAAGTTGTACGACTGGAACTTTGAAGGACAATGTGGCCAAAAAAAGAAATCTTTGCCTGATTAAAAGTAATTTAAATAGTAAAATACACCTGCATATGCTAATAAGCTTAAGGAAGTACATGCTACCACATAAATTACTGTATTACTCAACTTAGCACTCTGCCTAGACCATGCTACAGATAACATAGAAGGAGGGGGATCAGACTGTGCTGTATGTAAGGAGGGCAGGTCTGTTAGGAGAAAGACTCTTAAAGACCTCAGAGACAGCTCTGAGGCTACTCTCCTCTAACTCCATCCAAGTGGAGATGCTGTCTTGGTAAGCGTGTATTATTATTATTGGTAAAAATAAAATTGGTAAAAAACTTGGTAACCTGCTATTATTATTATTACCCATAATAACACCATGGTTATCATTGGAGCTCTATCACAGCTTGTGCATTTATTCAGACTTTGTATTTCTGTTGCTTCAATAAATCACATTATTTGTGAATCTGTGCTCATGGAAGTTCCCATTGAACATGACCAGACGTGTAATGCCAATTTGGTTATAATCAGAATAAGCCCAGCTGCACACAGCTCCTCTGATCTCTGGAGACCAGCTGGAATGCAAGAGTTTTTATTTTCTGCCAAATTTCTTACTCTTAACACTCAGAACCTTTTCCCTCCCTCTTGCACTTCATAGGAAGACTGAGTTCCCCCTCACCATGCACATGGGGAAGTGAAAGCACATTCTCACAAATCACTTAAATTTTATTTGCTAGAATTAAATTTTAATGTTGTGGGAGAGAGTTTCAAATTTTGCCTTAAATCTTGGAAGGGAAGCTTTTGTCCACATGCAGTCTGGCACATGTTTGAGGCAGGTGGATGTTCATTTTATTCCAGTAAATCTGTGCTGAGCATGTGAAGTCTCCCTGCAGTAATGTAATTTGGTTTAGTTTGTGCAGGTTTTCAGAAGGTTAGCTAGCAAAGCCACAGCACTGAAAAAAGGTTGTCTCTTCCTCCTCAAATTTTCACACTCCTGCTGGAGTACAAGACTTTTAAAAACAAATTCTTAGAATGTTTGTATGATTATGTTATTTTACTCTGGCTTTCTTCTTAGAAACAATGAATCATTATAGAAGTAATTAAGGGGAAAAAATAGCTTGAGGTAGACATCTGGTCTAGACTACTTCATCTTAACTGGTTAAAATTTTGCCAAGTCACAAAGTAGGGAAAAGTAGGGCAGCTTTAAAAGGCATACTGTTATCTGGTTCACCCACTGCTATACAGTGTAACAGGAGAGAAATTTCCCATGTGTGTCCCACACCACATGCTTGGGAAGTACAAACCCATAATTGCTGTTAAAGGAAATTTTGCTGACATTTCTTAATTACTTACTGCATCACCAAGGCATTCTTGCTGTGTATTTGTGTGGGAGAGAACATGAAACTGTAGCCTAGACACTTTTATTTCCAGTCTTTAACACAGGGAAAATCATTTTTATTATATGCAAATTGATAATGAGCATACCCAACTGTACCAGAGGAAACTCCAGGATGAGTTACACTGCCCTAGGTCACAGATGACTGAGCAAAAAGGATGTCTCTGTTGTTTCTAGATAAACACTAAACAGCTTTGGTCTGTTTCCAGACCATTTCCCACCGAAAAGCAGATGAGATAGAAATACCCTGCCACTAAAGACACATTCTAGGAATGGTGAAGAACAGAGACCAGCGTCACAACAGTGATACAATTTAACGCTTGGTTTTCGCTTGATACTAACGACCTTATTTAAGTGGAACTGAAAGATAAAGTATGCGTGGAACAAGCTTTCAATTTCAGAAGTACAAATTGAGGGCTATAGAAACCGATCATTCGTGTAAATGATTGGTCTCTTTATAACAAAAAGCCTGTACTCAAAGGTCAGGGAGTAAAGTCAAAGTCACCAAAACTCCATTCCTATATCTGGGTGCGTGGTAGCAAGATGCCGACTACTGTAACATTTTTCTTTGTCTGGTGATTACTCACCTAATAGGTAAGCTTGTATGTATGAATTTACTTGGGGTTTCTTTATGAACATCCCAAAACTTTAAAGGCTCCCTCTTGTGGCAGTCCTTTTCAGCAGTTGCCCTGTGAAATGACCGAAGCTCATTTGTTTTTCTGGTTGTCGCTGCTCTCCTGACAACCCCCAGCTGCCTCTCTCTGGCAGGTCCCACCAAGGACAGCCGGCCTCACTTTTTTGTTTTCAGTTCACCCAAGGACTGTTCGCCCTCCCCCTGCTATTACTCACTACAGCAATTGTCAGTGGGAACCTTTCTACAGTTTTCACAGGGACTTGTATCCTGCCCCAGCTCTGCATGAAATCTGTACTGAAATTCTTGGTTGTTTTTTCCCTTTTGTGACTCTTCCTCAAGGTCAGTTTAAAAAAATATCTACACAGTATCCAACTGTCTTTGCTGTGTATCTCTGTAATGCAGATATACTTGGAGGCATATCTTGAGGGAGTTCAGACTGGACATTAGAAAAGGTTCTTCACCCAAAGCGTGGTTGGTCACAGGAACAGGTTCCCAGGGAAGTGGCCATGGCACCAAGTGCTCTCAGTCACACTGTTTAGTTTAGGGAGTCCCGTGAGGAGCGGGATCCTTATGGGATTATTCCAACTCGACACATTCCTGCGGACGAGCCACCGGGCCCCCGGCTCCTCCTCCTGCCGCCGCGGCGGAGGCGGTGCCGGGCGCGCTCGGGCTCCAGGCCCGGCGGCAGCGCGGGGCCCGCCATGGCCGCTGGGCAGCTGCCGGCGGAGCTCGCTGCGGAGCCGCCGGAGAGTTACCAGCTGCGGCAGGAGAACGAGCTCCAGGTGCTGGAGTCCATTTACGGGCAGGACTTCCAGGACCTGCGGCAGAGCCAGGCCTGGAAGGTAGCGAGCGGGGTCCGCGTGGGGCGGAGGCGCGGCGGGCCGGGCCGGGTGCCGGTGCGGGGCGGAGCGGAGCGGAGCGGGGCCGGGCCGGGTACCGGTGCGGAGCGGGGCCGGACCGGACCGGACAGCGGCGGGGGCGCGGCTGGCGCTGCCGCTGGGGCCGCTCCCGGTCTCCCTTGCCTGACGTGTCGCGGCTCTCGCTGCGTGCCCGTGGTCCTTCCCTCAGCCCTGCCACCGGCCACCTTTGCGATTGATTCTCGAGATAGAAGCGCTCGCTCGATAATCAGTGCTGTGCTCATAAATTGCATTCTAAATAATTGTCAGGCTTTTCTAAAATTGCTGCTTTATTCATTCCTTAACCTGGCAATTACATACATGCTTAATTAATTCATTTTGTCAGTATACATGATGATAATTACATAGTAATTATATGTTGTGGTTTTGTCACAGTGCACCTATTTCCATGATAATAGTTTTGCTTTCATTTTCATAGGTGTGAGGTTTTTTAATTACAGCTAGTTGGTGCTCAGGCAGGCCTGGTACTCATGACTCTCTTCCATTTGTCTTTCGTGTCCCCATCAATTTGACATTTCCTTTCCAGTGTGTCCATGATTCTGTTTTCCTGTATCTGGAGGTAATGATCACTGTTCTGTTC